ACACCGCCGCAAAAAACGCCCGCCGTAGGCAAAACGCAAACACTGACGCATTAAGACAAATATGGCGCCCTGCGGCAAATGTGGTGCATTCATATCTGCCGTTTAAGCAGCCATCTCTTAATTACAGCGCATCCTAATCGTCCAATGTTCGACAAAGTTACGCACATTCTGCGCTTTGCGGCAAAAATAGCGCTTTGAGACAAACGTGGCGCACTGCAACAAACATGGCGCATTCGTTCATGTCGCTTAACAATTCGTCCACCCACTAAATTCTAGTCCAATCGGACATAAACTGACAAAGTTATGTTCATTTGAATATTTCACTATAAAATATCTCCGCAACGGAGGTGCCCATCTTCGCACGTGTGCCACGTGACCACCGGTGGCGTAAGCAGGACTTGTCTCCTCACTGATTGCACCATTTCAGGCTTCTTAACCCGCGAGTTGCTGGGGGGGGCGTTAAACGCCCCCACTTTTTTCGCCGGGCCATAGCATAAAAACGGCGCGCCGCAGGCGCGCCAAATTTTGGGTACCTGTAGGGAATTGATTGAAGTTTATTGTGACAAAGTTTCAAAAAAATCGGTTGGAAAATTTTTGAGATATCGAGGTTTTAGTGACGTCATGATTTCTGAGTTTTCGACCAAAAACGGCATATGTTCAAAAAATCATATAAAATCACAGAATAGACATACAGACATGCCGTAAATGCCATTAGACTGCCAATACCATGAACAATCAAATGGCTATCTTCGATTATTGATTATCGTTCCGCATTTTCCAAAATCTTGAACTGAATCTTGGCAATTTCTCGTGACTACTTAACGACCATGATACATGCATTTCTTAAATTGAACTTTCTTAGCCAAACACGTACACATATGATAAAATGAATGTCACCATCGTGTTCTACGCCCCAAATTACCCATAAAACATGTGTCACAGGCTGCGAATATCAGTTTTGATTTTCGGGGATATGTGCCTACCCGGTTGACCTGACCTTGACCCTGACCTATGCTTGACTGACCCCTACATGGAGCGGACACTCTTGTAGGCTTTATATGATGGATTGTGCCCCGTTTTGACAGAGTTTGTGACGAGAGGCGCCCATTGCGAAGTCCTGAAGTCCATGCTACTGAAAGCCCGATTTCAGGTGTTTGACCTGACCTTGACCCGACCTGTGACCTCGAAATTCAACTTTAAAGTACTCATCTGAAGCGTCTCGTCGCGCTCTTTCGTTTGCCGCCTCGTGCGTTTCGCTGCGCCTATTGGTTCTCGAGTTATCGGCTGGGGGCGTTTAACGCCCCCCCCCCCCAGCAAACGGTGGGTGGCGAAATACCCCAGCAACTGCCGGGTTAACTGGTGCAGTTTACGTGCTATAAGGCCACAAATCGGACAACACACGATAATCTGGGAGGTACGTGACTCAAACACGTGGCCACGTGGCACGTGCCGGATCTCTGATAGCTTCACCGTTCACGCCACGTGATGACCCATCGACGTGGCCATCAGCATGTAAAAGATGACCCCGGCCGGTGTCACCGTCTCTGAACAGTGGACGGCTAAACTCGAAAAACAGGAAAATTTAGGGAAATTTCACCTTTCGAACATATAATTCCCCCAGAATTTTTAATTTTTCATTTTACGAAAAATCCGAGATAGCAGTTTTCTAGCCCCCTTCAGTCTGTGTCTATACCCGTTTTCAGATCGACCCTATCATAAAAACTGACGGCCTGACGGCTATTTCCCCCATTCCTTGCATTTCACAATGCTAGTATATTTAAGCACCAAAATTGACCCCGTGCCACGGCACGTGCAATAGCACGTGCGCCACGTGACCACTAGTGCGACAAGCTGGACTCATCTGCTCACCGGCTGCACTGATTTGGTGTCGCTAGCTGAAGTCGTTTCCGCGCCATAGAACCCCAAATAGGCCAATGTCGGATTTTCCCGGAGGTTACCCCATCAAACACGTTTGCACGTGGCACGTGCTTTTCAATCGCCCCATATCTGACCCATACCATGTGGTAGCCGACACCCCGGGGCACAACATATTGGAACATTTTCAAAATCTAACGTGGAAATTTTTTGCAAAATCGATTTGAAAATAATTTTTCGAATTCGCCATAGGCTCAACATGGGGTAACTGTTTGTGACGATTACCCGAAATTTTGTCAATTATATTTTAAATAATTACCACCGTCAGTTGGGGTGCCTGCCCGAGATCCGACCCTAAAAATATCAGCAAATATAATTGACGAAATTTTTCGCAAATCGAATTTCCAATTTTCCCCCATGTTAACCCTATGGGAAAATGCACGTGCCGATTACCCCAAAACGGGTTAATTATATTTCAAGCGACCGATGCCAGCCGGTAGCTCCCCGATACGGGACCAAACGCTGAAAATGGCAAGAAATTCTACCGTGCCGTTTTCGAGGGTATCAAGATGACCCAAATCGCGGCCGAAACGCTAAACACCCCCCTAGAGAGGTAGCTCAGGTTGGGATTTTCAATAGAAAATCACAATTCTAAAGAATAGTGATTGTCTCTATTGAAAAGTCCCAACCTTCGGATACACTGCGGATCCGAAGGTTGGGACTTTAATTGTGAAAAACCGCCCGCCCGCCGCAAAACGCAAACACCGCAAAACGCGCAAAACGCACGCCGAAAGCGCCAACGCAAACTTCGCAAAAAAACAATCGCACGCCCGCCGAAAACCGCAGAAAAAACGCACAAAATGCCGCAAAAAAACGCGCGTCCGCCGCAAAACACAAACACCGCAAAAACGCAAACACCGCCGCCGCAAAAAAAACGCCCGCATCGCCCGCCGCCGACCGCGAAACGCCGCAAAAAACGGCCGCACGCCGCGAACCGCAAAACGCCGCAAAAACGGCCGCCCGCCGCAAACCACTAAACGCCGCAAAAAACGACCGCCCGCCGCTAACCGCAAATAACGGCCGGCCGCCGGCAACCGCAAAACGCCGTGAAAAACGGCCGCCCACCGCAAACCACAAAACGCCGCAAAAAACGGCCGCCCGCCGCAAACCGCAAAACGCCGCAAAAAACGGTCGCCCGCCGCAAACCGCCGCTAAAACGGCCGCCCGCCGCCAAACGCAAACAGCAAAAACACCCGCATCGCCCGCCCGCCCGCCGCCAAACACAAAAACCACAAAAAACGCAAACACTGCCGCAAAAAACGCCCGCAACGCACGCACGCCCGCCGCCAACCGCAAAACGCCGCAAAAAACGACCTCCCGCCGCCAAACGCAACCACCGCCAAAAACGCAAAAACGGCCGCCCGCCGTCAAACGCAAACACCGAAAAAAACGCAAACACCGCCGCAAAAAAACGCCCGCCGTAGGCAAAACGCAAACACTGACGCATTAAGACAAATATGGCGCCATGCGGCAAATGTGGTGCATTCATATCTGCCGTTTAAGCAGCCATCCCTTAATTACAGCGCATCATAATCGTCCAATGTTCGACAAGGTTACGCACATTCTGCGCTTTGCGGCAAAAATGGCGCTTTGAGACAAACGTGGCGCACTGCAACAAACATGGCGCATTCGTTCATGTCGCTTAACAATTCATCCACCCACCAAATTCTAGCCCAATCGGACTTCAACTTACAAAGTTATGTACATTTGAACATTTCACTATAAAATATCTCCGCAACGGAGGTGCCCAGATTTGCACGTGTGCCACGTGACCACTGGTGGTGCAAGCAGGACTTGTCCCCTCACTGATTGCACCATTTCAGTGTTCCTGGCTTGTGCTGTTTTCGTGCTATAAGGCCACAAGTCGGCAAACACACGATAATCTGGGAGGTACGCGACTCAAACACGTGGCCACGTGGCACGTGCCGGACCTTTGATAGCTTCACCGTTCACACCACGTGATGACCCATCGACGTGGCCATCAGCATATAAAAGATGACCCCGGCCGGTGTCACCGTCCCTGAACAGTGGACGGCTGAAGTCGAAAAATGGGAAAATTTAGGGAAATTTCACCTTTCGAATATATAATTTCCCCAGAATTTCGAATTTTTCATTTTACAAAAAATCCGAGATAGCAGTTTTTTAGCCCCCTTCATTCTGTGCCTATACCCGTTTTCAGATCGACCCTATCATAAAAACAGACGGCCTGACGGCTATTTCCCCCATTCCTTGCATTTCACAATGCTAATATATTTAAGCACCAAAATTGATCCCGTGCCACGGCACGTGCAATAGCACGTGCGCCACGTTACCACTAGTGCGACAAGCTGGACTCATCTGCTCACCGGCTGCGTTGATTTGGTGTCGGTAGGTGGAGTGGTTTCCACGCCATAGGACCCCAAGTTGGCCAATGTCGGATTTTCCCGGAGGTTACCCCATCAAACACGTTTGCACGTGGCACGTGCTTTTCAATCGCCCCATATCTGACCCATACCATGTGGTAGCCGACACCCCGGTGCACAACATATTGAAACTTTTTCAAAATCTAACGTGGAAATTTTTTGCAAAATCGATTTGAAAATAATTTTTCGAATTCGCCATAGGCTCAACATGGGGTAACTGTTTGTGACGATTACCCGAAATTTTGTCAATTATATTTTAAATAATTACCACCGTCAGTTGGGGTGCCAGCCCGAGATCCGACCCTAAAAATATCAGCAAATATAATTGACGAAATTTTTCGCAAATCAAATTTCCAATTTTCCCCCATGTTAACCCTATGGGAAAATGCACGTGCCGATTACCCCAAAACGGGTTAATTATATTTCAAGCGACCGATGCCAGCCGGTAGCTCCCCGATACGGGACCAAACGCTGAAAATGGCAAGCAATTCTACCGTGCCGTTTTCGCGGGGATCAAAATGTCCCAATTTCCGGCAGAAACGCAAATGTCCCCCTAGAGAGGTAGCTCAGGTTGGGATTTTCAATAGAAAATCACAATTCTAAAGAATAGTGATTGTTCTTAATTGAAAAGTCCCAACCTTCGGATATGCCAATGTTACTCACTTCCTATGCGTGTGGAAGCTGGCGTATGTGAAGCTTTTCCCTTCGTACTCGCCGAAAAATCGCGAATCTCCCAGGCGAATGTGATAGATTTCGTTTCCTGAGCACCTGCCGTACAGTCTGTGCCAGTCCTCCTCTGATGTCTGGCCTTCCCTGAAAGATGGAACGGTTCACCGGTGACACACGAAACCACCGGAGGTCACAGACACAGGTGATACGCAGGGTAGAGTCCAGTAGGTCATGACAGTTGTGCCACATGATGCATCTTATCCCAGAGAGACACTGCAGCGAGATACATAGTTACATTTCATCAACATGTCAGATTTCAGTGCTCTTTGTATCTCTAACGGGCAGAAATAATCAGTGTCCAAGGACAGATTCCAGAGGATGTCCCAAAGATTCATAATGACATAGCTTCTAATTCGAGGCCTGTCTGGTTGCCATGTGAGATCGGTTCCTTGGTAGGTCAAAGGCCTGATCAAACTGATCAAAGGTCATGCCATGATTTCACGGGGACGAACAACGCGCTTCTCTATCCATTTGGCCCAGAATGGCTGTAATCAATGCATGCTGTGCCTGAGTGTGCCTGACTTCCAAGACTTTTCTCTCAGTTTAACTCCTTGTTCTTTATGAGAATCCCGCTTCTCGACATCTCAAAATAATGTAATAATTAACGACGAGCTCTCCGCTTCGACCATTAACGTGTCCCGGTCGGGGTTCGGGGAATCGACGACAGGTGCGTTACGTAAGACCACTATCTTTAGCGAGCGCATTATATGTCAGCCGGCAGAGTTCTGTCCCGTCCTCTGTTGAGTGCCTCGTGACTGAACTGCTCCCCCCCCTCCGCCGCCCGTCCGCGCCGTGGTCCGACCCTCCGGCTACTCACTGTTCGCCCCCTCCCCCCCGCGCCACCCCTGCCGGCCACTCACTGCCCCCCTTTCCCTGCCGCCCCCGGCGGCTACTCACTATCTCCTCCCCCCGCCGACCCTCCCTGCTACTCACTGCCCCCTTCCCCTGCCGACCCCGCCGGCTACTCACTGCCCCTCCCCCCGCCGACCCTCCCTGCTACTCACTGCCCCCTTCCCCTGCCGCCCCCGCCGGCTACTAACTGCCCCCTTCCCCTGCCACCCCCGCCGGCTACTGACTGTCCTCTGGAAGTGTGCAGCCGGCTACTCACTGTCCTCGGGAGGTGTGCAGCAGCAGCGTCACCAGGGTCGAGGTACCCGGACACAGGCAGTTATTGGCCAGCAGCGCGTACTTGAACTCGTCCTCGCACACCACGTGCTCGGCGAACTTCACGTGCACCTTGTTCTCGGGCCGGAATATCTGCACGTACTGTGGCACGTTCGGAGCGAAATCCTTCACTGCCCACGACCGCACAATGGTGTGGTCGTCCTGAAACAGCGACAAGCCCATCGGTGAAAAATAGCTCGATGAATGCTCTAGGTAAAAAACTAACTGGGCAAGATGCATCGCTGAAAATGAAGCTACAAATTAATTGGTAGCTTCACGATTAACATAAATACAAAAAATGAGTACTGCTTACATCCCGGGGTTAACGTAAATATATATCGTTGAGCGATTTTTATGTATAACAATTTAAACATGAATGCACAATATACCTACAAAACGACTGTCGACGGCCAAAATCTGCTCATTTAGCAGGGCCGCGGCGGCTGCTGTGTGCTCCGAGGCCGTCCCGACGTTTGTCGCCGCTATAACAGTGCCAATAAGGCCCGGCGGAGCCCCGTCAGCGCCTCTGGCCGTCGTCGTCGACCATTTCGGCTGCCGAGAGTGGCGGGCGTCGGCACCGCTCGTTGCACTCGACGACACCGAGGGCCCGTTCGACGGCCGGTCAGTCCGCTCTGTATTCAGTCGGGCTGACGCGCGCCGGAATAGTAACGAGGCTAGAACCACTGGGAGACATCACGTCTGGCCGCGTTTCAGAGGCCTGACTTTGAATGTTGTAAAAAATGAATTCCAGTGTGATTCAGTTCCTGCAATCTTCAGCAAGTTGCAGTGTGCGATGTCAATAAGTTGCCTAATGATTTGCTCAGTTCGCAGACCTCAAAACGCACAGTGGCAACTGGCATGCGCTACCAAAATACCTACAAATGTCTCCAAATCGGCTCGATCCGACCCGCATACGGGCGGAAGTCGGCCCGCGGCGGCCCCATTCGGCCCGCCGAGGACAACGACTGCTGTCGCCGGAGCGGCGGCGGTCGTCCGGTCCACTGTCCGTGCCCAATGCTCGACTCGGAGGCGGAAGGGACGCTCCGAACTGCCGTGTCTTCAGCTTCCTGTACGGCTATTGTTTCAATGTGGAACTGGGCTGGTGATTGGAGAAAAAACAATAGTTTGGCATCCACCGTTTGCGGAGAGTTAGCAGTTTAATTTATGAAACTGTCTACGTGCTACCTGCTTGCTACCACAATGGTAACATAATATGGCGAGCAGCATTTACCTTGATTGGATCATGGTGCTTAATCGAAATCAATAAGCATTTTGTACCTGTTCAAATTAAGTGACAATATAGAAGAATGTGACTAAATGCATCTCAAACCATCATAATTTAGCCGAGAGCCTTAGTTATTAGAGGCATAATTGATCATTAAGGTCTTTAGAAGTGAATCAAGGGCATCGTTTCAAATGATGTGTAAAATTGCATGACGTTCTTTTATATCACACATCATAAGCCAATTTTAAGATCCAAAACGAAAGCATGTCTGTTTCGTTATTTCGTAAATTCCGTTCAAAGTTTGGAATTTGAAATGAACAGAAAACCCTCACTGCAAAGCAGCACATTCCAAATTCGTGCATGTCATGATTTGTATCACGATTTTCTAATGCATTTACGCATGTAACCCCGCACTACACTGAAAGGCGTCATCTCGGCGCCATTGGTACAGCCCTTACGTCCTGAATAAGCCACTTTAACACGGTGAATTGCGGCGCTTGAATCGCCCGACACTGTGCCTCGGTCAGGTCGGTCGGGGGCTTCGTCAGCGGCAGGACGGGAGAGGAAGCGGCGTGTCGTGCCGCCGCACAGACCGGTTTAAGCCGGGTCGTGACCTCCAACAGCACCGCACTGAGCTGCTGGTTCCGATTTCGAAGCTAGAGTGAGAGCTCTTTGAATTCCTGCAAGAGTTATTCAGCCTATGTTGCTGATGATGCTGTCACCTCTATAGCACATGATCAGAAACCGTCGCAAAAATATAAGCGCACTCGTAACGTACAATCTCCCAGACCCTTCTTGCTCCTCGGTGGCCTTTGAAGAGTCTCGTGGCCTCTCCGGACGGCCTAAGGCTGTCCAATCGATACAAATCACTGAATCCGCAGCATCCTATTTCGCGACCCAGGCGGTCCCGGCGCGCTCACATACACCGGCGAGGGGCACAAATCGACGGCAGCCAGAGAAATGAACGAAATTGGAAATTTCATCCACTACTGTGAACATACAATCACCGATGTCTATGGCCGATTAGGGTCATAGAGTGTCTAAAATGTAGCAAATATTTTTGAAATTTCAATAAAATGACTGATAATTCAAGTAAGCACTGGGCACTCCAGTAATTAACAAGTGATGCCTATGTCGTCCCCCGTATACGCTGCCTGCTGCCCGTCAAATCGGGTTACTCGTATTCCCGCTGTGATTGCTGTTCCACGCGTCCGCCCGCTGACAGCCGCGATAACGCTAATTCCCGATATGCTATCGGTGACACGGCGCCGCCTGCCTGGTGGTCGCTCCCACCCCCGAGCGCCGCGCTGGGGCTCCCGTATTAGCCAAACACCCAACGGTCTGATCTCCTTCACCGAACATCGCGATCCCCTCGCCGAGCGCTCAGAATTAATCGGGAGATTAAACTAATAAGGCCGGCACAAGAAGCTGATTTCAGGCCGGCGGATATTCATTAGTGTGCAACAGCGATGACGCGGAGCCGCGGATCGCCGCTGCGAAGTAAAGCTCATCAGACCGAGGAAGCGACTAATAGCGGCGAGTGTCAATTGAAAACGCCTGTAATCAATCATTGCTCACCGAGCTCAATAATGAAATTGTAAGATAATCACATGAAGATCGGTGAGAATCCCCACTCAGCATATGCGCAATGTGCATACCAAACTCAACTAAGCAGCTTTGCATATTCGAATCCGCACTGACGACAATATTTGAAGCTCTATCCTTTAGCTCCATTAGTGTTATCTGAAATCCCACCTCTAAGCAAGCCACTGAGCCTCCCTCTCACAACAGTCTGAGCTGCCGCCGCTCGCAGACACACCTGACGTGCGGCGGCGGTTTCGCCGGGCTGTGGGACGGACCACCTGTTCCCAGCAGGTCGACCGACACGGCTCGGCTCCTCACGCGAGCCGCAGGCGTCCGCTCTGAGTCGGACACGGCCGTCCAGCGCCGGCCAAGTGGCCAATTCGGCCGCCGAGCTACGAACAGCGGCGCGGCCGGGCGGAAAAATCGACCGCCGGCACCGGCCGAGCGAAAAAGGAGCGATACGGGGAGAAGGGAGATTCCCTATCGCCAGCTCAGACACAAAAAGACTGTACTAGAGACGCTGCATAAGTGCCGAATAGCGAGCCGTTGAGTGTCTCGAAAGATAAGGCACGGCAACAAACGATTCCGCGCCTTCCTTTTGGCTCAACAACGAAACGTCAGGCTGGCACCCCAGATCCGCAATCCAGCACTGAAGATCAAAAGACAATTACTTGGTAGTTGGTCCTGGTGTTGAAAACTATGTGTATGGGTCGCGATGCAGTGATGAAAGCCGGAACTGTCTCTTTGTAAATTATCGCAGTTCGTTTCTTATTTGTTTTGTTTAAAAAAGAACTTTCAAGGTCGCGTCGGCTGGCGCCTGTTCACAACTGAGTAAACCTGTATCAGTGCCTAAGCTAAGTAGCAATTACTCGGAAAGTTTCCGATCGCTGGGCCATAAAACCGACTTGATTCTAACAATAAAAAACCGTGAACAGCGCAGTAAACCCCACAAGGCCAAGTGCAGACTGGCACCATTTGCTGCTGAGCAGTTAGTGCCCCCATTCCGCCACCGCTGCCTGCCGTCGTAAAGCTGAACGAGCTCAGCACGCAACCCCGGCCGGCCTCCCCACTCTGCCATCAGTCGGCCGGGTCCGCTCCCCGCCCATCACCAAACAATTTCAACAAGTCACTCATAAAACCGGCCACATGACGGTCACATCAGCATCAAAAACCATGAGTCGGGTCGCTACTCACCGCAGCCGTCTTGTCGGCGTAGCTGCGCGCCGCCAGGATGAAGCACGCCTCTGCGTCGTTCATCCGCGCCCGGTTCAGGTCGCCGTCTTTCAGACACGAGCCCTGGATGTAGATGACCCGCTGTGCCCAGATGGGCACCTGGAGAATCATCCGCATCGTGGCGTCCAGCTCCATCGGCGACAGTAGAACCACGTAGTAGTCCTGGGAGCGGACGACGAGAGAGGAGTCAACAGAGAAACAGCACCACGGAGTAGTCCTGGGAGCGGACAACGAGAGAGGAGTCAACAGAGAAACAGCACCACGGAGTAGTCCTGGGAGCGGACAACGAGAGAGGAGTCAACAGAGAAACAGCAACACAGAGTAGTCCTGGGAGCGGACAACGAGAGAGGAGTCAACAGAGAAACAGCACCACGGAGTAGTCCTGGGAGCGGACAACGAGAGAGGAGTCAACAGAGAAACAGCAACACAGAGTAGTCCTGGGAGCGGGCAACGAGAGAGGAGTCAACAGAGAAACAGCAACACGGAGTAGTCCTGGGAGCGGACAACGAGAGAGGAGTCAACAGAGAAACAGCAACACGGAGTAGTCCTGGGAGCGGACAACGAGAGAGGAGTCAACAGAGAAACAGCAACACGGAGTAGTCCTGGGAGCGGACAACGAGAGAGGAGTCAACAGAGAAACAGCAACACGGAGTAGTCCTGGGAGCGGACAACGAGAGAGGAGTCAACAGAGAAACAGCAACACGGAGTAGTCCTGGGAGCGGACAACGAGAGAGGAGTCAACAGAGAAACAGCAACACGGAGTAGTCCTGGGAGCGGATAACGAGAGAGGAGTCAACAGAGAAACAGCACCACGGAGTAGTCCTGGGAGCGGACGACGAGAGAGGAGTCAACAGAGTAAACAGCACCACGGAGTAACGGAGTAGTCCTGGGAGCAGATGGAGAGAGAGAGAGAGAGAGAGAGAGAGAGAGAGAGAGAGAGGGAGAGAGAGAGATAGAGAGAGACAGAGAGACAGAGAGAGAGAGAGACAGAGAGAGAGAGAGAGACAGAGAGAAAGAGAGAGAGAGAGAGAGAGAGACATAGAGAGAGAGAGAGAGAGAGGGAGAGAGAGAGAGAGCGAGAGAGAGAGAGAGAGAGAGAGAGAGAGAGAGAGAGAGAGAGAGAGAGAGAGAGAGAGAGAGAGAGAGAGAGAGAGAGAGAGAGAGAGAGAGAGGAGGGAATAACCCATCAACAAACAGCACACTTAACTTTGACCTCAGAGAAAATAGGCATCTGCGTTCTGAGATAGGACCATAGATGCTGACGTAGTGGTTCGACGCAATTTTTTTTGCACGTTTAAAGCATATTTTCATTGCAATGCAGATAATATTGTTGAGCCTACAAGTAAGGTTACTCCAGAAAATCGCGCATTTCGCTGCTATCATCTTTCTCTTTGGATTCGTCTGTGCCTTGACACATACGAATGATGTGTGATAATCAGACGCAACGTCAATATTTCACACCTTAAACGTATGAATCCCGCCAGACTTCCGCAACCTTTGTGGAAAAAATGTATGTTAGACAAATGTCCGACAAAGGCCCCAACAATACCCGTCAGAGTTTGATAGACTGGTGGGTCACTGAGACTGGATAAATGTTGGGCATGATAAACGACCCGGGGATGAACTATTTCTGTATCAGAGAATAAGGTCGGATGAGGTTCAGTTGGCTGGACCGGCAATATTGCAAGAAAAAAGCCAATGCTCACGTGTGGGTATCCATAAATATGAGTTATATAAGTCGGAAGCAGTACAAAAGGCCACGAAAAGCCGCTCGATCTCAAATATAGCTGTAGCTATATATAAGCTCGTTTATATAACCTTATAACCTATTCATACGTTATGGAACTACGTCGTGCATTATGCAGCATCCTCAACAATCAACCCGACTGTGACACGATCAGCCGCCTTCGGAAAATCTGCTCCTCCAAGGCACCGCTGACCCCGGCAATCCAGCAGCCTCTCTTAGCGCTACGCAGGCGTTCAGTTCTCTGACCTGCCTTAGCCATATCTTACTTCTCACTCTGACCTGACCTCTGACCTGACCTCTTTCCTGACGGCTGACCTGCAGCGGCGGTTGCACTTGTGGCTAACGCTAATGCCTGCAGTATCGGGTTCGTTTATATCCAGCACCCATACCTGCAGTAGCGGGATCGTCCTGCCCTGCGGTAGCGGGTTTGTCCTCACCTGCAGCAGCGGGTGCGCGTAGAACTCGTTCAGGAAGTCCATGATGGTGTCGGCGTGCAGGGTCGTTGAGCAGACCACCACGTGCTTTTCGTTGGCGGCCCGATGTGATGAGTACGTGCCGCCCAGCTTCTTCCTTTCCATCCACGTGTAAGCCAGCTGCTCAAACTGTGGGGCAGAGGGAGTATTTGTTAGAAGCCAGCTGCTCGAACTGTGGGGCGGAAAAGGGGATGCCTTTACAAGCTGCAGTGCCAGAGCTGCGTGGCCGCAGCAGAGATAGGGGAGGGAGCCGGCGAGGCTAGTCTCTATGATAGAAGGCAACCATGTCAGAAAATAAAATGGAAGCCATGCTCGGCCTCAGCTAAGGATGGTTCTGCTCCCAGTCGATCGCAAGAACTTCAAGGGAATAGGACCAAAGGTTCGATAAATTGAATGTGAAAGCTTTCTTTCAGTATCGTTGCAATATAAAAGGACAATGTCAGCAGCCAATGATGTTCGGGTTGCATCAATACCCTGTGACAATTTAGCACTTCGGTCGCACCTCAGTGAACCACGTCTCGCTAAGTGTGTGCGGACCGGATTAATAATGTGCTCATTATTTGCCAGTCAGCGGCTCTTTGTTCAGCTGTCGGAGCAATCAGCCTCCGACAGTCCCCTATGATGCCCAGCTGCGAGAAAAGCCGACAGGCCCCCAGCCAAGTCCATTAGCCGCGCTCAAAGCTCGACTTCCAACTTCTAAGACGTCCTGCTAAAATGATGAGATAGAACCATTCAACTTCTGCTACCGCATTGTGGCTTCTTATACCCTGAAAGAGCGATACTTGAGAAACGCCGATGGCCGAGCACCGGCGCACCAAATTTAAAAGCTTTTGAAGATATATTTTGAAGCTTCTGATCAAAATGGAAAGTAAAATAGCGACATTTTATGTGATACTAAAATTGATTGCACCTAATCCAGCACTATTTCACTCGTTCAATATCCATTTAGCTTGTTACGGAGCGAGCGAAGCGAGCGGAGTCTTACGTAGAATAACGGAAATTTCTGAGTATGAGCGGCCGGCCGGCCGGCCGGCCGGCCGGCCGGCCGGCCGTGCGGACGCTTTTGCGAGGCTTATATCTCAGCAACCACTTGACCGATTTACACGCGGTAATTTTTATAGGGTAGCTTCATTCCTTCTACCAAGTATTGGACTATTCCCGATGCATGTGGGTGACCCCTTATGCACGTGCCACGTGCAAAACGAAGAGGTGTCAGTTTTGCAATTGTTGCAATATTTCGGTAACTACTTGGCCGATTGCGCTGAAAGTTGGCATGTAGGTAGGCACCCACTAGGCACTGCATATCCATGTGCCAGAGTTGGGGTGCTGCTGCACGTGCGCACGTGCAGGGGTCGTTTCCAGATCTCGAGAACGGCTGGACCGATTGCGCTCAAATTTGGTACACAGTTAGGGACCGGTTAGTAGGGTGCCGTGCAAAAGCCAGTCGGGACCCATTTTGCACGTGCGCACGTGCAGGGTGCCGCTCCCAGATCTCGAGAACGGCTGGGCCGATTGTGCTCAAATTTGGCACATCGCTAGAAACCGGTCAGTAGGGTGCCGTGCACAAGTCAGTTGGAGGTACCCCCTCGAAATTTCGCACGTGCAAGGCTCACCCTCTCGCTCGCTCCGTTAGTCGCCCCAAAAGGCGCTATACTGGTTATTAGAAGTGCGTCTTCTCTTGAAGTATCCCCTTCGGCGTCGCTCGAGTCTCCAACGGCACAAATCGGCTCATAGATCGTCTGCTTATCGCTTGGACACACGCCATTATTTGTGGCTGTAATCGCGTTGGCGTCGCTTAAATTTGGCCCACGCACATCTATAGCTGGAGCTGAATGTCAACGCCAACAATCAAACGACTTCTATAGTAGGGGTCATATTTTCAACCTATACTGTAGATTCCTTGCTATTTTTTTTTCACATTTGATGACCGATGCAATACGAGTTCACACACTTGAGTTGTTGGAAGTGAGGCAACCAGAGCTTTCGTCCCACTGAGAGGCGACATCATTATTCTAAAAAAGACAAAGACTTTTCTACAGCTATGTGATCACTCAATCAGCAATTACCTACAATATCAAGATGGAAAAGGAGCCCAAAAGGAGCCCATGACCTCACTCACTGGAAAAGGAGCCCATGATTGAATTGATTCCATGATCACTCAAGCAATAATAAATAAGTAAAAAGTGGTTTAATCGTTTTTTTTTTACCTCACCAATAACAGCTTAATTTTACATCAAATTATATATTATTTTATCTAAACACAACCTGTTGCCAATTGTTGCCATAGAGCTCAGGGCGGGAAAGTAAGTCTGTTTCATTTCAATGTGTGAGAATCGCGAGTCTCTTTTCTACGGTACTTTTGCGCCCAATAACACACTCTCTGAGATATTCTCAGTTTTGTCCAGCTAAGAGCACCTACCACGATATGATCCGAGGGCTGTACAGTGTACATTCTGACATACAGGGTGGGATGGACAAATTGAGACAAGTTTCTACGCGGTTGTACGCCTCGGCTATAACCGCAATCTGATTGGTCGCATCGCTGGCACGGCCCTCAGATGCTATAAAAGCGAGGGTGACCCAAGGTCAGGTCAAATCATGTCTGGTCGCGGAGCCGAGTACGATCGCCGAGCCGCCGTGCTCCAGGCGCTGCGCGCAGGGAGGAGCCCGGCGGAGATCAGCGAGTTCCTGCGTGTCCCACGGAGCACGGTGTACCGCATTGCCAAGCGTGTGCGGGCGCAGGAGGGCGGTGGAGATGGCGAGGATGAAGGAGAGGTGACTCCCGAGCGTAAAAAGCGTAAATCAGGGCCTGGGAAGAAGAGAACGCCGGCGTTTCTGCAGCAACTCCAGGCTCTGATCGAGGAGGAAGTCACGAGAGGAAGTCTCTCAGGATCAAGGAAGTCTCGTGACTTCCTTGATCCTGCACTGGATCAAGGAAGTCACGAGAGGAGCTGGATATGTCTTCCAGCAAGACTCAGCACCCGCACACGCAGCAAAGAAGACGCAGGAGTGGTGCCGGCAGAACATGCACCTGACGTGGACCAAGGAGTTCTGGCCCCCCAACTCTCCGGACCTCAACCCCCTGGACTACTTTGTCTGGGGCGAAGTTGAGAGGGTCTCCAACAAGAGCCCCCACCCCTCCAGGGAGGCTCTGAAGCGGACCATCGAGGAGACGATGGCGGCCATGGGCCGAGCTGTCGTGAAGCGCGCGTGCGGCAGGTTCAGGAGCCGGCTGGAGAGGATGGTGGCGGCAGAGGGAGGGTTTATCGAGTGAGAATGCTCTACAACGATGCCAGTGTTACGAAATAAATATATTTCTGACTGATTGTTTTTTGGTTAACCGGCAAACTGCATTTGAATTGATAAACACAATGTGTCTCAATTTGTCCATCCCACCCTGTAGACTTGCCGCTGTAAATTATCCCAACTTTCCCCATGAGTCACTGGTAAAACTACCCACAGGACTGGTATGAGCGGCAGCCGGTTCTAATGGCCGGCTGCAGGACATATGTGACCAACTATCGGCGCACGTGACTGCGCTGGGGGACCGGATCAGGCCCGGCCGAGGGAACGTGATCGGATCAGCGGCCGGAGGCCTGTCATACGGGTCACAGACGGCAGACAGACGGCGTGGCTGTAGGTCAGGTCACAGGACCCTCCGTGAATGATTCACGCACCAACGGCCAGCCGCAGCCAATGAGACGATTTTGGCTGTAGGTGAAATGCGAACGTCGCTCTATGTCAAGGGATTCTATGTAGAGATGAATTCGTCAGTACTCGGTGTCACGCCGTAAAAATAAAAGTATAAAATGTATCTTTCACTAGTTTTTCAATTCGTTCTGACTGGACTAGCCTCTTATTCTTTGAATGTGCTTTTGTAAGTAGTGCATTCCCCCTAGCAGTCCCTGTTCCTAACCAATTTGACCGTCTCTCTCCCCGTTACCACCTTTCTCTCCAACTCCCCCTCTTCCTTACCACCTCTCTCCCTCCCAGTCTCTCTCTCTCTCTCTCTCTCTCTCTCTCTCTCTCTCTCTCTCTCTCTCTCTCTCTCTCTCTCTCTCTCTCTCTCTCTTTCTCCCTCTCCCTCTCTCACTCTCTGTTGCCTCCCACCCTCTCTCGCCCGTGGCCATCGATGTCGCACCGTTGTCGAGTGATTGGAGCACCCTATCAACAGTATACATCACTGCTATCGCGGGGCCGTCATCCATTAGTGGGTCACTGATATCAGGGCTCGTCGCCCCACGCAGCCCAAAGCACACCGCCCGACGCAGCCCACCGTCCACCGCCCACAGCCCATCGGCCCACAGCACACTTGTGCACCGTACACGTACAGTCGTGTACAGGTTGATGGTCCTCTACTCTTTATCCACCGGGTTCCTATGGCTCAGTATTGGCAGCAGCCGCCTGGTACCGGTAGGCTGTGCCGCATGACCCGAAAGTTATGCGGCACAGTCTACCCGCGCCGTTTGACATCGGCTCGGGTCGCCGGGTGGAGCGCTTTGTAGACCAGCTGTTGATTTAGACCAGCGCGGGGGGGGGGAGGGGCTCGTCTCAGTGGTTGGCGTGGGCTGGCGAGTGGTGTGGGGCGTGTTGGTGGACCATTGGGGCTGGTCGGGTGTGTGTGGTCACTTCCTGGACCTGCATTGCACATTTTGCGTCGCTTAACAATTGCATTCCTGTTTTTGATAAGCACAATGCACGGAAGACCCAGCGAATATAATTTACTTTACTTGTGCATTGTGCAAAACGTGATTTGGCACGGTATCGAGGCAACCATAGGTCTTGTGCCTACTGCCTATGCATGATATTTAGGCAATATGTTTATGAAAACGGTAGATTGATGCTGGATGTCAATTCGTATGCTAAATGTCGGCACGTATTAAATGAATGAATCAATCAATCAAACAATCAATGGACATGTATAAAACCGTATAAATGGCTCGCAACCACTAATAGCAATCAAACCATCCTAACTCGGAAAAGCAGCCGGAGCCCTGATGAGGTTCGAACCGGGACTCCACGCTGTAAATTTTGCCTATGATCCATCATCATTTCACCAAGCTAGAGTGACCGACACCCGAATCCACAAAAACATTAATTGACTTTGCCGCCGACCTCCCGGCCCCGCCGTCCGCCCGGCCAGACTTTGCCCCGGCCAGAGCCACCATCCGGTGTAGCTCAGCGTAGGTGTGCTCGACTGTCAAACTGACCGGTAGTGAGTGGCCCGGTTCGAAACGCTTCGGTTGCTGGATATTTATTTCTCGTTGGGAGGCTTTGCGTTTAGTCTACTTTTCAGAAAGATCATTTGGTGACAGGCCTGTTTTCTTTCTTTGCTGCAATTCATGAGGAGACCGTATGCACCCTTACCTGTCCTTCCGCACCCCACTTGGGAGAGGGTGGTTGACCCCCCACCCCATGGGTTTTGTGAATATCTCTAAAACGAATTTTTGGAGGGGGATACGGTCGGTTCTATGCGACAAGTGACCACACACGCCCAGCCCCAGGTCCGCTCACTCCCTCCCCACATCACCCCCTCCCCACGCCACACTCCAGCCCGCCTCATCCACCGAGCCGAGCCATGACGAGCCTCAGCGCCCCGGGGCGCGACCTGTCAGCGAACCGGCGGGGACGGGGCCGGCGGTTGCGTGCGCCGCGGGGGCAGGGGCGCGTCCAGGCGTCGGGGACATCGAGGCGCCCGCAACGGCGACACTGGACCAGACCTGATAAATGGACACCTCAACATAAGCTCAAACTGCCGGATCTGTTTGGGAGTGAGCGGACCTGGGGCTGGGCGTGTGTGGTCACTTGTCGCATAGAACCGATCGTATCCCCCTCCAAAAATTCGTTTTAGAGATATTCACAAAACCCATGGGGGGGGGGCAACCACCCATCTCCCAAGTGGGGTGCGGAAGGACAGGTAAGGGTGCATACGGTCTCCTCATGAATTGCAGCAAGGAAAGAAAACAGGTTAGTCACTAAATGATCTTTCTGAAAATTGGGCTAAACGCAAAGCCTCCCACCGAGAAATAAACACCCAGCATCCGAAGCGTTTCGAACCGGGCACCTCATTACCGGTCAGCTTGGCAGTCGCGCACTCCTACGCTGAGCTACACCGGATGTTGGCTACGGCCGGGGCAAAGTCTGGCGGGGCGGGCGGCGGGGCCGGGAGGTCGGCGGCAAAGTCAATTAATGTTTTTGTGGATTCGGGTGCCGGTCACTCTAGCTTGGTGAAATGATGATGGATCATTGGCAAAATTTACAGCGTGGAGTCCCGGTTCGAGCCTCACCAGGGCTCCGGCTGCTTTTCCGAGTTAGGATGGTTTGATTGCTATTAGTGGTTGCGAGCCAGTATACGGTTTTATACATGTCGATTAATTGTTTGATTGATTGATTGATTCATTCATTCATTTAATACGTGCCGACATTTAGCATACGAATTGACATCCAGCATCAATCTACCGTTTTCATAAACATATTGCCTAAATATCATGCATAGGCAGTAGGCACAAGACCTATGGTTGCCTCGATACCGTGCCAAATCACGTTTTGCACAATGCACAAGTAAAGTAAATTATATTCGCTGGGTCTTCCGTGCATTGTGCTTATCAAAAACAGGAATGCAATTGTTAAGCGACGCAAAATGTGCAATGCAGGTCCAGGAAGTGACCACACACACCCGACCAGCCCCAATGGTCCACCAACACGCCCCACACCACTCGCCAGCCCACGCCAACCACTGAGACGAGCCCCTCCCCCCCGCGCTGGTCTGACGCAACAGCTGGTCTACAAAGCGCTCCACCCGGCGACCCGAGCCGATGTCAAACGGCGCGGGTAGACTGTGCCGCATAACTTTCGGGTCATGCGGCACAGCCTACCGGTACCAGGCGGCTGCTGCCAATGCTAAGCCATAGGAACCCGGTGGATAAAGAGTAGAGGACCATCAACCTGTACACGACTGTACACCGTCCACCGTCCACCGCCCATCGGCCCGCGCCGGCCGCCACCACCTGTTGTGGCATATGCACACGATACAGATTACAGACCGTGTTGTGCACATGCGGCTTCTGAGATGCGATGATTACAGCGAGTTATTCAACTAGGGACGTAAAAAACGTAACTTCAGCGTTGAGTGTCACCCAACGAACTACTTTGGAATTTCAAAAGCTTATATTTGAACCAGCCATGAAACAAATGTAGGGGAGAGTGGGGCAAAGCGGCCACCCTAACGTTTCTAACGATGCCGACGCTTGATTTTTAAACTTGGAAAGATTCTTTCTATACCAATGTGATCCCTATTAAATTGTCTTTTATTCCAACTGCGTTTCATTTCCAAAGGCGTTCACATATGGGAGATATTGACAAAACTTTAAACCTATAGCATATTGGCCACTTTGCCCCATCCCTGAGGCAAAGCGGTCACTGGCGACTTCTCAAGTCCCGATATGAGAAACAGAATAGTTGCCTCATGCACGACTAGGGTATTTGATGGTGACAAGGTTTAAGGGAAGATGGATGTTTACTTTGTTGTCTTCCCACCTATTGCTAAACAAAGAAAGAATTTTCTTGGAAAAACATTTAATTGCATAATTTGGTAACTCATGTAACCGAAAAGTGGCCAAGATGAATGCATGACGACACATTTGAATATAGATAATGTTTTTATCCAGATGGAAACAACTTATGGCCAATTGGGGGCTGGCCACTTTGCCCCGGCCGCTTTGCCCCGCGCATACCGTCCGAGACAAAAATATTCCAGCTCAGCTATTAGTGGGGTAAAAAGCATTAAAATTGGTAGAAGGCATGTACGATAGCCACGCAACGCATGGACAAAAACGCTTATAAAAATTCCAAACGGTTATGGAATAAAATAACATTTAAAAATTGTAGACATAATTGGTAACCTGGCAAGAAATGCTTTTTCGTGTTTCACAGAACAATGGCGATGGGCCTGAAACCCCGGTCTGGCTCATTCGAACGACCGCAAAGAGAAGTATAATTGGAAATCATAAATTGGAACTGGCGCCAGCTGTGGAGGGCTAAAACGATGGATGGCCGCTTTGCCCCGGGTGGCCGCTTTGCCCCACTCTCCCCTATGCTACTTGTAACGCTGGTGTGTGATGAATTAATAAAAACATCAATAATATTGAAGTAGCTTCCCACTAGGTAGTTATGTTATTTTCTTTGGTATATGTATGTAGCTCTTCCTACTGTCCGTGACAAAAACTATCACCGTAATATTTTCCGAGTACCATTGACAGTAGCTCAGTCAAAGGCTCCATGAAATCGACCGACTGGGGCAAACCGCGTATGGCTATTCGCCATTCGGTCCAGTTAAAAGTTTAAATCTAAATATTACTGTCATCCGGAATATTTACGATCGCACGGTAAAGTTCAGGTCCTGCGCAACAAGCTACACGAGGTGCTATCTCTTACCAGGAAAACCTACCCGTTTATAGCATTCCGAACAAAGATAACAATATTTCTCACATATTGCTTAGTTGGCCATGAAAAGAAGGTGCAAGTAAGTGTAGGTTTTAAAATAAAGGGCTGCGCATTCAGCACAATATTTCAGGAATGCCACACAGGCTATCACATTTTCAAGCGTGGTGTGAGGCCCACCTCACTCTCAGCGGTACACTTCTAGCACCCACCCACGTTTCCGGGAAACTTCTGCGGACATTATGTAACTCGGCACTCGACACGGTCTTTAGAGTTTCCTGGTTCGGGCCGAGGGCCATAAAATCGGCCATCATGCCGTCAGTCTGCCGCTGCCGTCACAGGTTAGGTGACCGAGGGTGGAACGACCAGGACCGAGGGTGGAACGACCAGGACCGAGGGTGAAACGACCAGGACCGGGGGTGGAACGACCAAGACCGAGAGTGGAACGACCAGGACCGAGGGTGGAACGACCAGGACCGAGAGAGGAACGACCGGCTCCACGGACTGCTGGCCAGCTGACGGCCGGGCAACACGGGAGTCCGGGAGACGAGTCCGGCTCAGAAACCCGGACTATCATTTACTCGAATCAGACGAACGAGTGGTTTATGAGATGCAGTTTGCAGATCCATCTTTTGAAGCTTGCAGCACCGATATAAACAATAAGCATAGATGCATTTTTTGGCATTCTTGCACGGACAACAGAATAAGAAACGAAGGAAAAATGACGCAATGAATGACGAGAGCTCGTTCTCTTGCATCCTATGGGCTATGAGGTAAGTCGATCCGGAATTCGCAATAACATGAATTCCTGAGCGAATAAGGAAAAACTTGTTGTAATTCCACCCAGGTGGCGCAGGCTCAGCGGCACTAATCTGAGAAACTGGCGAAAGTCCGCCTCGCGACAGGCTAATAAGAACACTACAAGGAACATCTCTAACTCGAGCAGATGATGGGCAGTAAATTTGAAGGTAAAAGGCAAGAAATACTTTGTGACGCGTATTTCGTAAAGGATTGTGATGCAATGATGTTATTAACGTATCATAACGTAGTATATAGTCCTCCATATGATAGGAAAATACTACTAAGAAATACTCATCAATCCTGTTAAAAAGTAAACAACTTCAAATTGGATCACTAATTTGGACGAGGCATACAGCCCACAGCAGAGGATGTGGGAATCCAGTCTGATGTATAATGGTCATTCATTTATTCGCGCCGGACTGACCTGAGTCGGTAGCACGATGAGCGCCACGCAGATCATGATCACCATGAAGAGCTGCGAGGGCCAGATGTCGGGCACGAAGTCGCCGTAGCCCACTGTCGAGAACGTCACGATTACGAAATAGGAGGCTTGGAAGATGTTCAAGTGACGGTGGCCGGCCCTTTGAAAGTGCTGTATACCGCAAACGCTGAAACAGAAACAGGTTCATGGATACACGGGTTGGCAGAACAAGAAAGAGTGCGATTTCGCCAATCGTGGGATGAGGGACAGCGACGGGCCGATTGACGCGCTTATTGACTTCGTAAAGGCACATCGCTGTCGGATGTAGCATGTTATTAGGAACTGTCTTAACTAAAAAAGTGGTAATAGATCACAGGCATACTGCCCTGATTGTCGTCACATATGACATACACCAGAATCGAAGAAAATCTGTCGGAACTGTGAGCTATCATACGGACTTATGCCTGAAACAGACTCTTTCCGCAGTCAGGAAATCGCATGCGAGAGCCTATTCAAATACATGTTAGCAACACAGTTAGCACGCTCGCATCAATCGCACGCACCTCCCGGATGCGATTGATGCGGGAAGAATTATAATGTATTTGAATAGGCTCTCGCATGCGATTTCCTGAACGCGGAAAGAGTGTTTCAGCCCTGAGTCGGGACTGCGCAGCGGCGGCCGGCAGCACGCTCCGCACTGGCAGGGTAGGCTGTACCGCACCGCATGAGTGCACTGCGGCACAGTATCACTGCTTGCTTACCGCCAGGCGGTAGCTGCGCGGCGCTTCGGCCGCCGCGCCGTGCGAACGGCTGGGCACTGGGTACTTGTGTAGTGTTAACGCCGCAGGTAACCACAGATATAATATTAGAATGGTATAATTATTTCTTACAATTATCTTGATGGTATAACCTATAAATCCAAATGCTTCCAATTAATTCGCAATTAATTTTCGTCTACAAAGGAGGCATGCATCATTACAAAGAGAAACTTAATTGAAACCCACTCACTGTAAGTCTCGAGCAGTTACCGAGCGAAATCGAAGAGCATGTGAACTTGGCAGTGCCTTACAGTAGACGCTGCGCTGCACTAAGGGACAATTAAGCGCCGATATAATTTCACGACGCCGTTTCTCAGCGACATCGACATCGATCAATTGCACTGTCACAAACATTAATTGATGACGTGAGCCAGGCGGCAGCGCCGTAATTACGGGAGTGCTACGATCAAACGGCTGGCGCTGCGCAGAAACCGTCTCTCATGGGCTGCGTGGTACGAACGGACGACTAGCTTCACAGCAATGACTGGTGGCCGCCATCGAGTGGGATTTACGGGACGCCTCTACAGCAGCGCGGTAATGGATGCTAATCGCCGCCCTATTATCGCCGGCCGCGCACAGCGCCATTTAGTATTTATGTGACACTTGTTGAATGATACCGGTCGGTGGCTCGTAACTGTCAATATGACGCACAATGGGTTCCGAGCCAAGCGCTGCTGCAGCAAAAAAAAAAATGAATGTCAAATGAATATTAAATATGGCCATAGCCAATACTTGGAGGGCTTATTTCCGGAGGTAAAGGAACACTGCGATTATACCACAGCCGGTGGTAAGCTGATTCATGTGGAAAAATGCCGACAGGACTATCTGTTGACTCACCTTGTAAATACGAGGCAAAGCAGCGTTGCAGAAAGCACCATTAGCTGCTGCGATAAGGCCGACTGAGAGCGCTGCATGGCACGATTCAAATCGTTCTGAAACAAACCAGCACATTTTTACAGGCATTTAACACTCTAATATAATGATAGGTGCATACATTTGCCACAGAATACAGATATGTATCAGCAGGACGGCAGAATATTTGAAATTGATAGGTTGATTTTGCACTAAAAGCGCATGCAGCAAGAGCGTGGTAAGGTGGGACGGAATTTAATTTCTATGTGACTTATCTGGGTGAGCTTTTAACAAGTTAAACACTGAAATCAGGCTCAAAATAAAATTATGATTGAAAAAATGATCACTAGGAGATGAGGAAAATTTCCGGTAACAATTGCAGTCATACCAGCCAAAAATGTTAGTCTCATTGTCCCTTTTCCCAAACTGAGGAGTTCATTTGCGGTAAGTGAGGCCAAGGAAGTGTGGCCGCAATTTCAGATATTGGCCCCGAACGGTCACCTTTAATGCCATTTTGTCAAATAACTGGTCATGAATTGAAAATGACGGCGACGCCGGCCGACCGGTGAACGCTCTAAGAAATTGAAATATGCATAATTGAGAATGAACTTGGCGAAAGGGCGTGACCACTATTTGTATCTCAAAAGTTCCAGTCTTGTGAGCGACAGTTGCGCTGTGGCGATGCCATTACGCAAAGTTTGCACTGTGGTGTCACAAAACACCATTTCATTAGTTTATGAAACCTACTACGTAGTACTCGTATTCATTGGCAGCTGCCCGCTCGGCTGTCGAAAACAGGCATGTTGCGAATAACGTTATTTATTTGTCGTGGTTCTGATTTATTGAGGGAAAAATAAACTTTCAAAAACATATTTTGACTTGCAACCATCTATAAAAATCTTAAACTTCTTAGTAGAAAACACTAGTTACAATTTACCATCAGCCAGATGACCACCTCAGTGGGCATTCAATCACACTGGCCAAATCAGGGTGTGTTTTTTCCGCCACCCCAGACGGCACCTAATCCCACAGCGCCTCAAGGAGCCGGTCACCAAATCAAAGGCGCGCCCAAATTTCACCGAGCGCAATTTAGCAGTTGCCGGGAAAGGTCAGAGGTGTCGGACGGACGCCCGCCGCCCAATGAAGCGCGTCGGTCACGGCGGCACAGTGTCGGTCCGATCGATACCCAGTTAATGATCTCCGAACAGAAAACACGGCTCCGGGCGACCGGGCGACGGCCAACGGGCCGCACCGGCCCCGGCCCCGGCACACAGCCCGTGCAACACGCACACAGGGGTGCAATGGGGACGTGGGTGTCAGGGCGCCTGACACCCACGTAGCATATTTAGAGCCATAACATGGTTTCAGACGTGTATCCGGGGTGCTGTCTGAGGTACGGCTAGGGTGCAGCAAGTTCAGCAGAGACACCACAGGGGCGTAGCGGGCCTGCTGTAGGTGCCCAGCGAGAGAAGCGGTGTGCCGGGGCAGGAGTGTAACAATTGGCATGGAATAACCCTCGCGTGTGTGCGGCGTTTGCCAGCTTCTAATGTGTAGGGGGGGGGGGGGTCGGTTGGACCCCCCCTTGCCGTTTGGCCCCTGATCGAGCTAGAGCTTCGCGAAAAAAACGAGCGTGTTGCCCGTGACGAGAGGAAGCCGATGATACCCAATTTTAAGGTCCTAGGTCATTGGTTGACCTTCCAGGTCAGGTCAATGACCCAAAGTCGGGAAAATCGGGACCTATTAGAAAGTCGTAAAGTGTGGCTGCTAAGGGGTTTTTCGGGGTGCTGATCACGAATATCGTGTTAGTTTTGATCACAGATGATGTCTTGAAGCATTTAGACCAGGTCGGGTCAGGTCAGGTCAGGTCAACCAGTAGGCGTCGTGACGGGTATTCGTAGTACGTGTCAACCGCCTCTGACAGCTTCGTAACATGTTACGAAGTCACCAAAACTACTTCGTAAATGTTCAAATGGTTGCTAAATTCGAATTCAGCTCCAAAAACTAGCCTAGAAACATGTAAAACTCGAAAAAGTGACCCGAGGTCACCCGAGGTCACCAAAGGTCAATGACCTGACCTGACCTTCAGGTGACCTTGACACACACGGGAGTAACATCAAATCACATGTTTGAACGTTTGAAACCACGAAAAGCTTGCAAACACGCGGCTAGTGCGAGCCGACATACGCGAAATCGCGATTCCGGCCAAACATGGTCTCGGAAAAGAGGTCACAGGTCAAAGGTCATTTGGGTCAGGTTCATGAAATTTTCAGGGTAGGTGTAAAATTGATCAATGCGAGGGTACTGAAAGTTTCGTCGCGATCGACCGCTTTTTACGCGAGTTATTCGCGAAAAACCATGGGGGGGTCCATCCGACCCCCCCCCTACACATGCGAGGGATAACACACATAACTGTAAGCATGGAAATGAATCACAACAATTTAAGGTGTTGTTGTGACATGTATGTATATTCTAACATTCCAGAGGAAAAGCAAAGAAAGGAAGAGCCGATAATACTACAGGGAGAGAGTTTGAACGATACTTACAAACATATTTTCAAGTGCGTATTTGGCTAGCCAGCAGTTAAGAAAAACTGGTACAAATATGTTCCGTAGTGGTGACCAAAACACCTGTGAACAGCAGAGCAAAAGTCACTGAAAGGCGAGGAAAACACTATACAACATCTAGTCCCCTTTTGGGAATTCCGAAATGCCTATTTTACTGTAATGCTTAAACGCCTTGTGCTAGTTAGTTTAAATCCAATCGTGTGTCAGATCAACTGGAATCATCAAATTGATGGAACAAATGTGTTAACCAGACATTAATTTACAGGAGCTAAATAATGCGGTTCGTAACGCGATTGTTATCGCCGACAGCCGTGAACAGAATAACGGCAATCGAGTTAAACCATCAAACACGACCGCAACTAGCGAACTGAGAGACTCCGTCGGGGTTTGTAAAAACAACCCCGAACAAAGCGAACACATTGGCGGGAAACGTTCTCACAAACTAAAGAGTGAGGCTATTTGGAGTTTATATGCGGAAACAAAATCGTTAGCTATCGAATAAAAAAAGGGAATTCAAGACAAGCTAAAGCATAATTGCCTTTATAGTTCTTACCGTCGCCATAAAAGGTATGGTGTTCACCAGTTCTAGTATAAAATAGAAGTTCAATAGTTGCTGCCACAAGTTACCCTGTAAGAATAGATGAATGCTACATCAGCAATAGTAGCGTTTCCTGCAAGAGGCGAACAATCGGCATTGCACCGGACACGTAGATGTTGAACATTGCACATGTTAAGCACACATTATTTGCGCTATATTCATCACCACGTAAGCATGCATGCTAGTCCATACTTATCCTATGCTTTCAAAGATTAGATCTAATTAAGTAACTTTTAAATCATGCCAAAGACCATACCATCGGAGATTCTTAGAATTCAAAGTTTCGAATTGCAACGAAGCATGCCCCCTCATCCCTAAAACCAGCATTGACTATCTATGATAAGCTATACAGCTATGATGAAATGAGGAATGCAACACCCCCAGCCCCTCGTACTCTGGCACTGTTTCAGCCCGTGCCGGGCGGTGCCTTCCACTCACCTTATAGGTGAGATAGGCCAGGAGCAGAGCCTCGGAAAGACTGACGAGTGCCAGCACGGTCTGCGTGATCCAGAGCTCGAGCCGGCGGTCCACGAACCAGATGGCCGCCCAGTTGATGGCCTCGTGGCTGGGCACCTCCATGAACTGCTCCTTGGTCAGGTTGCTGTTCTTCTCGAACACGGCCCGGTCCGGCGCCGGACAGCCAAAACTGAGGACGGGAGGGGTCAGTCAGTAGCCGGATGAACACAATAGGTGCGGGCTGACTGATGGCAAAACGCTGACAACAGAAACCAGAGCCGTGAAGGAGTGAAGGAATCTATTTGGAGGTACTGAAGGAACCGATAAAGCGAAAAACAATGTGTGAATTGTGAAACATACAATACAAACTCTCAGGTAAAATGATACTCTTGCGTGAATTAGCATGCATGTCGGTGTGCAAAGGCAACTGGATATCTTAGCAAAATGATAAATAATAAAACAAATAAAACACCTTTAAGCGCCCCTCCGGTGCTAAGGCAGCGCACACACTAACGCAGGGAGCAGTAAAAGCATCTATTGGAGGGTAGTGAAGTGACTGGTGAAGCCAGATCGGTTGATGAATTGGACCGTGGAGGTCAATCCCTCCATTGCTCGGTGACAGGCCGACAGAGTGCTGTGAGTGTCGGCCGGGCGGACTGACATTTGGCCCGCAGCGGCCGCGCGCGGCCAGCGTGCACAGTGGGCAGCTGTGGCCGTCCGAAAAATGAAAAACGATTGAAAGAGAAGGTCAGCGTCGGGCTCGCTCTCATCGTCATAATTGTACGATGAAATGAAATGGCAACTAGTGAACAGATGATAATCGTTGTTAGCTGCTATACTCAGGTGTATTTGATTTGTTGCACCATCGAGCGGCATAGTCGTCGATGAGTTCAAAGTCGAAAACATCATTATATACTGAATACCCACATTAAAAAGCATACAATTAAACAAACTGCATTCATATTTCTAACAAACCACGTTTGTTTATCTTTGTTGACATAGACTTTTGTTTCGCTACTGGAGTAGGGGGATGCATAATCAACACAAGAATCTCCAACTTCAAGTAACGCCTACGAGTGCTACAGAGAAAGAATCAAGTTCAAATGGTCTCGTTTCTCTAACCGTCAAGTCGCGGCAAAGCCTCTTCTGGTACTCGTCTATCACGTAATACCTTTCTGAGAATTCCCCACTAACGTAACTTGGTACGAAACGGCTGACCCGTAACATTCAATCGAGTAATCCCATTACACTTTCATGTAATTTAGCGGAAGTTTTACGCTCCTTTGGTCGGGAGCGCGGTTCATTGGCGCAATCGGTAACCTCAGAAGTGTTTACGACCCCTCTGACCGGCGATGTGCTTCCTTCCATGAGCAAATAGCGAGCTCCGCAACGTGACTCGACACCAACACACCGGCAGAGTCGCCATTCGCGGCGCAGGTTCAGCGGAGCGAGATGGGCAATATACGACCAGAGCGGACATGTGCTCAATGATTTGCGTGAGCAATCACTGGAGCTCTCACAATGCGAGTCTAATGATCCGTATTGGTCAATTGCTTTAACTCAACGTTTGTCAGTTCGAGCCCAAATAACGTTAAGATGAGCAGTGCTTGGGAGAAGCTCATAAGTCAGAAAGACTAGAGTGGCATGCATGTATACTCATGTGGGCACTGCCACAGTGCACTCGAAACAGGCGTGTCTTGGTACTGAAGACCTACGGGCACACAACAGGATTCCCTGGGCTATAAAAGCAGGATATTGATCTGAGTATCTCTCCTAATCCGATTGTCTCCCCATGCATTCACTCTAGCTCTCACTTCAAAGGAGATTACTTGAAGAAGGCGCTTGAAACTTGTGTAAGCTTTTGAATGCAATTCGATGATGTTATTCTTATTTTCAGTTAAGACGTCATTTTTATTTTTCCCCCGACGCCTGTGATAGCATGTCGCTTGAGGTTTTAGATTCTTTCAGTGATTACAGGATCATTGCGATGAGATGTGGCCATCAACTGCTGACTTTTGTGAATTTGTAATGGATACCATTTGTCAAGAATTTAACATAAATAAACATTGATTGGTATTAAAAAGGCTTAGAATACAATGTCCCGATCAACAGCAATTTACGAGGGGGTATCGGAAAGTTCTGATCATCACATAGAAGATGTGGACCGATTTTGATGATTTTTGGTTGGTATTATATTTGGTTCTTAAGAACAATGTTCCCGCAAAGAGAATCCTGAGAAGTGGTTTTATCTTATGTAGGAGAGACTTAGAAGTAAAAAAGATGAGTATTGGGCCCATTGAGGACCGAACCGTCATCCAACTAATGCATTTGAAACGGTATCACATTGAGAAAATACATCAAGAACGTGAAATCAGTTTATGGCGAGGAAAGCCCATCTCATGCACTTACCGAAAATGAAGAAATAATTTTCAACTTGGTTGCATGGCCCTTGCAGGGGAGTCAAGAAGTGAGTGGCTACCAGTGACTGACAAGGTGGTGACCGTGAAGGAAGTGGAGGACCTCATCTTTACAGATCGTCGTGTGACCTTTCAGATGATTGTGCAACAGAAAGGTCTCAATGCTGGCAGTGCCTGAAAATATTATCAGCGAAGAACTACAGACGATAAAGGAGTCAGGTCGCTTAGAAGTTCGTGTGTCTACTTTGTTCAAGAGAAAAATGCGTCTTGGCCCTTCGAAATCAAAACTAGGCCTTTTTTAGGAAATTGAAGACATCTTCGATAATTTGATGACTTGTAACGAATGCTGGGTCTATGTGCATGATCCAGAGACAAAAAGATGATCAAGAAGTTTAAGCACGGCACATCTGTCCTTCTTAAAAGGCGAAGATGCAGAAGCCGATATGGAAGGTCAATGCTATCAGTGTTCTGGATCTGGCGTAGGATAGTCATTACCGACTGTCTTGATGATGGTCGGATAATGATAAGCAAGCACCACTGCACACTTTTGAAGAAGTTGCGAGATGGCCTCAAGCAGAATCGCCGCAAAAAAGCCCAAGAAAGATGTTTTATCCGCACCGACAGCGCTCCCGCCCATTCGTCCTGAGCTGCGATTGAAGGAAGAACATGATGTGGACATTAAATCCTACCGCATCTAAGAAATTCACCTGACCGGGTATTAACTAACTCTTGATTGTTACGGGAGATGAAGAATCCACAGTATGGCCGGTGATTTAAGGACAGAAATGACGTCATTGATGAGATGGAGCAGTGATTTACGGGACATTGCGAAGGTTCTACAATGACCGCCTGAGGCAGCTCAAGAAACGATGCAATAAGTTTGCGGTCGTGTGTGGTGACTTGTAAAGGAGTAATGAACATCATGTAAAAAAATCAAATTTCTATCACATCTCATTCGTGGTGATGATCAGAACTTTTCGATACCCCCTCGTATGTCCTTTTAGCTGCAGCTCAATGAAAGTAGACAGCCAATAAAAAAACATTATTTTTACCCTTCTGGCCTCTACGGTCCAGTTCTGAGGGTGCCGCCTGGGCGATTGGCCGTCGGAAGTTTACGCTGTTGGTAATGGGTATTCGCCACACAGAGCTAAGTGGACCGGCTGATCGTCCCGACCATCGCGCTAAGCGCTGTTGTAGGTCATTCACTCATAAACTAGGAATATTATCGCCTCAATGTCGCTGTTATGTGACAAGGGAAGTGGTAAACAAATGACGAAGCATATGTTATGCAATGCCACGCGTTTCTACAGCAACACAATGGTAGTTGAGGCTGGGATCTGTTTACCAAGAACAATACCAATAGCAAACAGCATGACAGTGTATCAGTGTACTATAATATACGAGTATATAGACTATACACTATACATGACAGTGTATAATAATGTACTCCATTTGCCACATTAATGATATTTCATTTATTGGTCACAGCTTGTTTTGGGCATCCCTGGACTATGTAGTACCTGTTAAGAATACAGATAATCTGGCAGTGGTGGCGCTACCACTAGCTTCAACGACAAAATGCAAATGTTCTGCTCCGGGTTGTGCCGGTCACAGCAGACTGGCCATGGTGTCCGTGACAGACAGTGCTGTACCTCCCGGCCGCCGAACACTGCAGCTGCACCTGCGAGCCGTCGATGGAGGGCTCCTCCAATAGCGGCGCACAGCACATCGTGGGCGCAGCCACGGCGCGGTCGTGTCATCAGACGTATTGATTGGTCAACGCAGTACAAACTTAATGGAAGCTATGTTTGATACTTGAAGGGACCCATTTGATCTTTTGGCTCTAGAGGATTCAATTCTTGCCGATAGGCTAAATGACGTAAGAGGTCTTTTTCAATCTAAATACTTTTTTACCTGATCTTTGCGGTTCATTTCTAATAATTCGAAATAATGTGTTATATAAGCTATCACAGCTATTCTTGAGTGCAATGCAATACTTAAATTGTGCTAATCAAATGTTTTAGCCAAGTATTTACCCTACCCCAGTCAGGGGTGAGGAGAGAGGGGTAAAGGTGCCAATAGATGTTCAAAATAACCCTGAAGTGGGAATACCTGTATTCAAGAACAAAGGTCATTCGAGTTACAAAAGTATCTTACATTTAATTAAAGAAAGCTCAGGTATCTTAGTTTAATTAAAATTTTGCTACACGTAAGTACATTCCTTTTCTGAATTGTTCGCAGAGCCAGACCTTAATAGGCTGTACAGGGTGTCCCAGAATTACCCGGACATTTATTTTCTAGCTAAAAGTACGACTGCGCTCGCTTCTAATGATATACAAGCATCATACTTTTATAAGATATCCCTTAGCTATCGAGATTGGGGACTGTGTGCTTTTGGTGGCCGGTAACGACTCGAATCAATTATTATCCAGAGTCAAGTAAGAGTAGTCCTTTTCCGTTTTCAGCTTAAGCCACTAATAGGCAACCATGGTGAATCAACTCCCGTTTTCAACTTTGTAAACGGACTTTCGGCATGGTTTTTGCTGGAGAGCTTCAGCAGCTCATCTGCAAGCAGTTAGGATTGAGCAAAGCGCAATTATATCAGCTAACGAAGCCAGAGAGAGCAAGAGATAAACCTGATTGACAAGCTTGGGCTCGGCCAAAAAGGGCCATGCACCAGTTGTCAAACAAGTGGTTGCTTGTCATAGACAACAAAAGTCACCGATCTAGCTAAAAACTAGCTAAACAATAGATCAGGATTATCTACAAAACATCAGTCTACTTTGCACCACTATCTTCGACAAAATTTTGGAATTGGGGTCCTTCGCCAGACAAATATGCGAAAACTACGGGAAAAGCAGCGCAAATCACGACAATTCATCCCAAAAACATAACATATACAACAAAACAGTATATTGAGGCACACTTTGTGGTCTAACGAGGGTATTATGTCATTTGAACCGCCCGAAAAAGGCTTGTGTGAACGTCAGATGGCTACAACGCCCCAACAGCAGAGACGGCCAGGCACCCGTCGAAAATCAAATTATATGACATTTTGAGCCACCGTGCACTCATTGGGCTTGATATGATGGCCCAAAGACAACCGTTAGCACAGGGTACTACTGCGGAAATATTCTACCAGTGCGAAAACTGGATGCCGTGAACCAAATGGCCATGAACGGGTTTGTTTTGGAAACCAAATCTGTTGGTAGCCAAAGGTTGCGCAATGTTCAGACATGGAGCTTCTCCACTCCAGATGTAAAAAAAAAACGCAGCAAAAGTGGCGTAGGCAGAAATTTTTGTTTTGGGGGATAATACCTTATGGCCTGGGAACACTTTGATGTCAAGGTTATCTTATATGATCGTATTATCCTCCGGCAAGAGGTCAAAGAAAACAGGCCTGCACCCAGTTTCGGGAGACCCGTAAAACAACTGAGACCAGCAATGGCTGGCATTTTCCATCATTGTCGGCTGATCTTGTAACAAGCGTATCTATTGCATGTGCTATTTCACAGCCACCCTAGTTGACTATATAGGACGGTAAAAAGAAAAAAGCGCAATCATGTTTGCCTTATTTTATACGCTAATTAACAATGTCCGGGTAATTATGGGACACCCTGTATGTTAAAATCAATGTATAACTGCCCACGATGAGGGCTGCCAAAACGCATAATCATTTACGATAAGACACAGTTGGATTAGTAACCGCACAGCACGACTCAAATATAGTCGTTTTAGTCAGTAGATGTTTATAAAGCAGGACAAGAACAACACAGCCACTCAGCAGTCTTATTGAAGCGCAATCAATATTACGTAGGGTGACGGGGAGCAAATAAGGACAAGTGTCTATCCGTCTATCCCAAACTTTCAACTGCCCTTTACATTCATTGAAAAGCTTGTCTTGGAATTTACAATAAGTTAGGTCGAATAATAATATTATCAAGCAGACCCAGTAGGCTATTTGCAGGTCATTCGACGGAATTTTTTTTAGCGTTCATTAGCTTCACATAATCACATAAGTCACAACACCTACTTGGACGCACCCCACACCTCTGGTAAGTGTTCTGACGAGCTCGAATTTGCACCGTCCGTGCCATTACCAGCCGCCCATTGGCCACTGGGAGGGTACAAATGGCCGATAGGTCACAGGTCATGCAAGGTATGAAACTGGAATACTTGCTTCACGCTAAAACCTTGATAATATTAGGCATCCATCTCATAGAGTTGCTTACATTCTATTGGCTTATTAACGTTCAAGCAATACCAATGTAAGTAGGATGATTAACCCTCGCCCTGGCAGGGCATTTTTCATAACACGGCCTGGCAGGGGGGGGGGGGGGGTCGATGCGACCCCCCTCTCGCGATTGGCTCCTATGGCACCTAGAAACACCAAATTTGGTAGGTAGGTGGGCCTCCTGGAGTTCTCGCCCCTGTGCAAATTTGGTTGCTCTAGGTCAATATTTAGGGGGGTTTTGGGGGTATAAATGTAAAAATTTCGCTAAAAACAGGTCAAAAGTTTTTCGCTTATAACTTTTTTTCTAATTAAGATAGAGCAAAAAGAAAAGCACCAGTAAACTCAGCACGTCAAGGCGCGTCGAATGATATACTTTTTAGCTTGCTTAATTGTACTTAAAGTTTTTCTTAAATTTTAAGTAAACTTAAAATTATAAATTAAGTTCAAAATAACCAAATTGCATCATATCGCATATCATTCGATTCGGCTGATCACCAGGAACACAATGATACCATTTTTTAAGCTCTAGCATAATGACGCTAGAGCTTAAAAATGGTATCATCATTATGTCATTATGTGCCAACTTATGGGCAAAAACGTCATTTGACCTCAGTTGACCTCATTTGACCTGACCAATGGATAAGTACACCAAACAACGAAGCACCAAGTGACCTGCTGTTATCTACTATGGATTCAAAGCACAAAAGTGATAGAAAGAAGTAGATATCTCCAGTATTTTCGGAATTTAGTATTTTCCCATAGGCTTAACATTACGACGTAATGACCTCTAACTGACCTCAGGTCAGTGACCTCAAAAAACCCGAACTATATGTTATACAACTCGGTGAACTTAGCACATCCTGAAAGTTTGAAGGAAATCAGTCCAAAACTGTGAGTTGGACAGGTGCAAAAAGAAAATTGAAATTTGACCATGACCTTGTACCGGTTTTTCTGACCTGGTGACCTGACCCAAGGTCACCCGGACCTGAAATTTTCAGGTCATATGTAAAAAAGTTGCCCCATAGGCTGTGCCAAATTTGGCGGCGCTGCGCGCCGCCGTTTTTACGCTATCTTCGAAAAACTTTAGGGGGGGTCGCATCGACCCCCCCTGCCAGGGCGAGGGTTAAAACGTATTGAATGCACACATTTATCGTAAATTACCCTACAATATTTACCATGTATGTATTTGACATCAAGTATGTCAATTTACATGGATCCCCTGCATAAAGCAAGGCGACTGCAATGCAATGATCGACAATACAGAAACTGTGATGGAACAAACAAATCAAATTTTATTTCATTTTATAGCATGCAACTGAACACACGAAGCCTTGTCCGTCCCTGCGCCGGGATACTCACCAAGTGGCATTTATGGGGTCCTGGTCGACAGCCACACGAACGATATACAGCACACAGGTTAGGAGCTTGATCACCAAGTTGAAAATACGTATCCGAAGGCCTGAAAACAAATATCACGTCAAGAGGGAACACAAGTTTCTTTGCCGAAATGCCTTTAACCCTAGAACGCCTAGGGGGGGGGGGGTTGTATCAACCCCCCCCCCCCCTGAGGTTTTTTCGAAGTGCACGCTAAACGGCTTGTCGTAGCGGGCTGAAATTTTCAATACCTTCTGGGGCAACCTTTGCGCATCTTTTGCCGAAAAAAATGGATCGGGTCATGTCAGGTCACGGAGTTATGACGTCATAAGAGGTACAGCCTCCGGCCGGATTTTCACAAACTGAGTGCCAACGCCCAAGGTTTCCTGCCGGTGGTACGGACATCGGTTGATGGATCGTGATGAAACTTCCCATGCATGTTGGGGCAAGTATTGGCTATCATATGGTATAAGAAATTTGACCGGGTCAGGTCAGGTCACGGAGCTATGACGTCACAAGAGGAACAGCGTCCGGTACTATTTTTGAAAAGCGCCCGAACCACTATTTTGCTAATTCTTGTCACCTCAATGGGAATATGCAGCAATATTAGCTTCTATAGGGAGCAAATGGACCTCCCAAATCCAAAAATGCAATCAGATTTCAAAAATTTAAATTTTGATTTTTCGAATTTCTGCCGGCGACTGTGACCTTGCCGACTTCCGGCGCTCCCAACGCGCCATTTTTAGAGCTAGGGAAACAAAATACATACCAAACGATAGAAAATTGATCAAGGAACACGATAGTGAAGGTTTCAAGTCGATATCTTCCACCGTTTTGCCGCAATCGCCGCCGAAAGTTGAAAAAAGTCTATTTTCCCGAAAATTTGACCTTTGACCGGTCAAAAGTAGGTCAAATGTTGACCTAGGACCAAAAAATATACCACCAATCGCGAGATCTCGTTGAGAGCAATCCGTTGTTTTTTTCCGCTAAGCTCTACGACCTTCCGTTTCGAAACGCCAGGGGGGGGGTCGTAACAACCCCCCCCCCCCCCCCTGGTCGTTGGTGTTATGAGAAATGGCCTGGTCGTGCGAGGGTTAAAAAGGTCGGCAATGATAATGGTGTGCTTGGCTAAACTTTTCATGCCGATTGGCGGTCTTCCGTGTCGGATGGATTAGATAGAAAATCAATGCTGCAGTTTTTTTGTTTGTTTGTTCAATGCAGCACGGTCTTACCGCTCAAATTACAGAAGAATCAGCACCTTGAAATACCTGTAACTGAGCCCCAAAGCCCACAGATTTTGAGAGCGATCCCCAATAACCACAGTTTGTGCGTTAGCCAACTGGTCAGAGCACAACATCGGTGAAGCTAGGGAAACTACCAAACTTGCTTGTGTTTGCTGGGTTTGAAATTTAGCATGCACGTCAGGCATCCTTTAACCTGGGTAGCGCAGATCCCGGTACCGCAAATAAGCATTTGGCCACAGGGTTTGACTCACAAACGGCAGAACCTGTCTGAAGCGCCATTTCGCCACGTAGCTTTGCGGTGTTTGCATTTGTGCTATAAGGAAATGAAAGTTCTCAGAATAATGAGGAAGCAGACATCACTAGCGAATGGAACAATGTAGCAAAATTATAGAAAGAACAGCGTTCAAAATCTATCTAGATATAAAACATGTTTGATTTATAGGCAAGCTAAAATTCATTCATTCTTTCATCTATTCTTTTCTTAACCTAAAATATGCAAGATCAAACTTTAACACTGTTGATTTAACGTGCAAGAAAACAAGGGGCAAAATCAAGAGTGAAAGGGGGAGAGAGAGAGAGAGGGGGGAGAGAGAGTGTGTGTGTGTGTGAGAGAGAGAGAGAGAGAGAGAGAGAGAGAGAGAGAGAGAGAGAGAGAGAGAGAGAGAGAGAGAGAGAGAGAGAGAGAGAGAGAGAGAGAGAGAGAGAGAGAGAGAGAGAGAGAGAGAGAGAGAGAGAGAGAGAGAGAGAGAGAAATCGCATTTTCTGTGTAGCCATATCGGTAGGCCATATTGCTTATCTCGTGACACTGGACCAAATCGTTAAATATCACTAGAAATTATGTCTGAGGTCAAGCGTCTACCCTAGATATAGATCTAGATGTAAACAGCGATACACAAATAGCGCCCATATTATTACAACGAGATAGCTTATGACAATAATGTAGCAAGTTACATCCGATGAAGAGCTCACTTAGACACGGGTAGTAATAAAATAATGTGGATCTGGACACACTCACTAGATCTTTGATTTTTGATGAAGTAGAGGTGCAGCCGCTCTTTCAACGTGTTCTCGTTGACATAGTACTCGACGCGGACTCTGAAACAGACGAAAAGAGAAACATTAGTATTCCACAGAAATACCGAAAATATGGCTAAGTTGTATTGCTGTCTTTTTTGTCAATGACGAAGCATATGCTTCTGAAGTACTGATGTACAGTCCACAGCAGAAGTAATGTGTGGTCTCAGTCATGGGTATGTTCTGCTTCTGAAGCCTAGGAACAATTAGCCAGATTGCAACGAGACTTTAAATGTAGGTAACATGTATCTTCACCCTTGCAGCTACAACTTTATCCATTGACGTCTTCTTTTCAATCAGTCCGCATTTAAAAATCGTCGGTCAAAGCCATCCGGTAAAACCATTGGTAAAACCACACATTACTTTAGCGGTGGGCTGTAAAAATGAAAGTGTCTCCATCGTTGGTTTCTCCTGAAATAATATCGTGGTCAGAAAGGCTCACATCGTTATAGTAAAAGCCCACATGTGCAAAGTAATGGCGTATGTAAGCTATGTGGAAGACCTGTAGACGTGCGAACACTTTGAGCACCTGAAAAATTACCAGTAACCATTCAAGCACGTCAGGACCAGCCCATTCGCGTCCAGAGCTCTGTTCGGTCGCTGTTTTTATATCAGCGTGCTGTAGGTTTTCCCCATATAAGGAAGTTATTGCTGGCGCTTCTTGGCCTCTCATTGGTCTAACCAGGGCTAAAGGGTCTAACGAAGAGACCACTTGAATTCGACCAATGAGGAGCCAGGAAGCAGCAGCATGCTCGCAGCCTGCTGATAAATAAACGGGGGGGGGGGGGGGGGCGAACAGAGCTCTTGATCACACTTCCTTGGTCCGTGCTGACGATCACTCCACATACTAGACAGGGGAGAGCATGGTCCCCATTGAAGCACACATTTCGGGGCAGCTGTTTTAGAGGCAAGGTTGTCTGTCCCACGGAGGCACTTCTCAAGGGACAGAAGTAGGTTTCACCCGATCACTAAATCATTAACGATTAAAAATCGATTACGATATCTTACAAATATAGTTTGAACTTCACGTGCTATTTTTTACATGACAATATTCCACATAGTCAAGCTAGGATTGCGTAAAAAATAGCCCTTATGTCCTATATTTCCCCAAAAGCTCATGCCCCTAGCTGGTGCGTAGGTATACGAGCTAACATGGAAGGTAAAGAGTGGGTTTCTACTGGGATTAATCTACTCTCCCTCTGAGCATATTCAGGGTAATCTCCCAGGAGTGCGATTGGGCACCGTCAATTTCTTGCCAAACAATTTGATTACGCCACTTTATCAATGGCCCAAAGATACCATCAGTAAATTAACGTTATAACAATCACAGCTATTAGGAAATGCTTATGGCTTCTCGCACAATGCAATATTACAAACCATTTAACTTTACGGCGTCTGCATGATCAGTTACGGCTTCAACTCGACATACACGATCAAGTTAACCCTCGCATGTGTGCGGCGTTTGCCAGCTTCTAATGTGTAGGGGGGGGGTCGGTTGGACCCCCCCCTTGCCGTTTGGCCCCTGATCGAGCTAGAGCTTCGCGGAAAAAACGAGCGTGTTGCCCGTGACGAGAGGAAGCCGATGATACCCAATTTTAAGGTCCTAGGTCATTGGTTGACCTTCCAGGTCAGGTCAATGACCCAAAGTCGGGAAAATCGGGACCTGTTAGAAAGTCGTAAAGTGTGGCTGCTAAGGGGTTTTTCGGGGTGCTGATCACGAATATCGTGTTAGTTTTGATCACAGATGATGTCTTGAAGCATTTAGACCAGGTCGGGTCAGGTCAGGTCAGGTCAACCAGTAGGCGTCGTGACGGGTATTCGTAGTACGTGTCAACCGCCTCTGACAGCTTCGTAACATGTTACGAAGGCACCAAAACTACTTCGTAAATGTTCAAATGGTTGCTAAATTCGAATTCAGCTCCAAAAACTAGCCTAGAAACATGTAAAACTCGAAAAAGTGACCCGAGGTCACCCGAGGTCACCAAAGGTCAATGACCTGACCTGACCTTCAGGTGACCTTGACACACATGGAAGTAACATCAAATCACATGTTTGAACGTTTCAAACCACGAAAAGCTTGCAAACACGCGGCTAGTGCGAGCCGACATACGCGAAATCGCGATTCCGGCCAAACATGGTCTCGGAAAAGAGGTCACAGGTCAAAGGTCATTTGGGTCAGGGTCATAAAATTTTCAGGGTAGGTGTAAAATTGATCAATGCGAGGGTACTGAAAGTTTCGTCGCGATCGGCCGCTTTTTACGCGAGTTATTCGCGAAAAACCATGGGGGGGGGGTCCATCCGACCCCCCCCCCCTACACATGCGAGGGTTAATCATTATGATCTTGCTGACCGGCGAGCAGTATGACCACCGCACCACCAGTCACCAATGACGTCACGGCTGCCCACCAATGACGTCACTGCGCACATACCGCGGGATGGCCTCGTAGCTGCCGGCGGCGTGGAAGCAGAACGGCCACAGGTGGGAGCCGCAGGGCTGGAGCTCCTCAGCCGGCTCGTCCAGCGAGTCGCCGCGACTGGAGAGCAGCCGCACTGAGCACGCGCCGTCCTCGTCCTGGCAGATGCTCTGATAGACGGCGTCGGCCGAGCGCTGCCGCCTCATGGTGGTGGCCTCGTGACGGTGTCAGGAGAGCGCGGCACGTGGCGCGGCAGAAGGCGCACGTGAGGGTAACCCGGCACCACGGAATGCCTGGTGATCGGAGCCTGCGCTGACGTTCGTCTCGGGCTGTTTGGTTTGGTTCTAGAGCGCTGTTGAGAGTTGGATTTGTTTTGTTCTGCGTTGATTGTGACTCGCCTCCAAGGTAGACGCTGCTTCCACACAAAAAAAAAAACAGTAAAAAGCGAGACAACTTTTGCTTCGTCTATCTCGCAGTTGTCTTGATTGTAGACCACCAAATTCCGGGCCGAGTTCAGACACCACACGATCGGTTCGGCCTCAGTTCTCAGCTACCGTCGCCAGTTCCCACTCGTCCGTCCTCACAATCTCACAGTCACGTCCGCACGTCCGACGTGACGTCCGCACGACGTGGACAGGTTCTTGCTGACCTTTGACCCGCTGGGGGCGCCGGTGGGCCGCTGACTGGGCACGGTCGAGTGCGGTTTAACCCGGCAGTTGCTGGGGTATTTCGCCACCCACCGTTTGCTGGGGGGGGGGCGTTAAACGCCCCCAGCCGATAACTCGAGAACCAATAGGCGCAGCGAAACGCACGAGGCGGCAAACGAAAGAACGCGACGAGACGCTTCAGATGAGTACTTAAAAGTTGAATTTTGAGGTCACAGGTCAGGTCAAGGTCAGGTCAAACACCTGAAATCGGGCTTTCAGTAGCATGGACTTCAGGACTTCGCAAAGGGCGCCTCTTGTCATAAACTCTGTCAAAACGGTGCACAATCCATCATATAAGGCCTACAAGAGTGTCAGCTCCATGTAGGGGTCAGTCAAGCATAGGTCAGGGTCAAGGTCAGGTCAACCGGGCAGGCACATATTCCCGAAAATCAAAACTGATATTCGCAGCCTGTGACACATGTTTTATGGGTAATTTGGGGCGTAGAACACGATGGTGACATTCATTTTACCATATGTGTACGTGTTTGGCTAAAAAAGTTCAAATTAAGAAATGCATGTATCATGGTAATGAAGTAGTCACGAGAAATTGCCAAGATTCACTTCAAGATTTTGGAAAATGCGGAACGATAATCAACAATCGAAGATAGCCATTTGATTGTTCATGGTATTGGCAGTCTAATGGCGTTTACGGCATGTCTGTATGTCTATTCTGTGATTTTATATGATTTTTTGAACATATGCCGTTTTTGGTCGAAAACTCAGAAATCATGACGTCACTAAAACCTCGATATCTCAAAAATTTTCCGACCGATTTTTTTGAAACTTTGTCACAATAAGCTTCAATCAATTCCCTACAGGTACCCAAAATTTGGCGCGCCTGCGGCGCGCCGTTTTTATGCTATGGCCCGGCGAAAAAAGTGGGGGCGTTTAACGCCCCCCCCCCAGCAACTCGCGGGTTAACGGCCGGCAGACGCACTCGTCGCTACTCGAGTGGCGACGGACGGCGGCCGCGGCACACCTGCGGGAGTCGGCCGGGTGACGGCTGGGCCCGGTCGGCTCTGAGGGGCCGGTCGCAGCTGGCCGCCGCCCACAGCGGTGATTTGAAGGCAGCGGCGGCGGCGGCGGCGGCGGCGGCGGCGGGGGTCAGATCACCGGCCCACCTGGGTACCTGGCCGGTGGACCGCGGCCGGTGACTGACACCAGCGGAACTGTCAGACAGCCGCGACCGCTCGGGCCTGTATCGTCCACACAACTGGCGGCCACCGCGCGCCGACTGGCTCACAATCCGCTCATTAAATCATTGGAGTCATTCTCCTAACTGGGCAATTCGACAGCGGCGCCCGGTTAACCCCTGGTAATTACACTAAGTGAGGCCACGTAGGGACCGGCCTGTGCTACTTAGCTAACAAACACTCACAAAATGTGAGCGCTAGTCAATGGTGCACTTACCGCAGAGTGGATAAACAGACACAATCAATACAAAAATACAGGCTGTCAAACACCAAAATAATTGAATCAAAGGTAAGGAAAATTATACGGCTCAACAACGTAGGTATTCAGCTTTTGTTTAGCATTAAAAATGAACTGAAAGATGGCCTTTCGCTGGAAGATAGGTGCCGTCCCGTCCCGTCCCGTCCCTTCCCGTCCCTTCCCGTCCCGTCCCGTCCCGTCCCGTCCCGTTCCGTGCCGTCCCTGCCGGGGAGCCCACTTTGTCCCTCCCTCTCCAGCCGACGGGAATTGTCGGCGGGCCGTCCCCGGCGCAGAATCGGAGCTCAGTTCAGCACAAAAACGCCACACAGCCCCAACTAAGGCGATCGGCTTGAGCCAGCAGATTCTGCGATTACCACCTAGTCCTCGACCCCGCCGCCGCCGCCGCCGCCGTCACCGCTGCTGACGCACACACGACCGGCGGCACGATCTTGGCTCCGAGGTGACGGCG